CCCCCCACGGGGACACACACCTCCCCTCCCCCACCCCCACAGGGACTCACACCTCCCTGACACACTGCAGTGATCAGCCTGGGGCCGCACCCACCTCTCTTATGTCCTCATTGCCCTCCTTTATGTTCTCGGTCGCCCCCACAACAAGCTGGTGAATGTTGTCAATCTCCGCTTCCTGTGGAGAATGTCGGGTAAGCAGACCACCCTCTTCCCGAGGAGTAAATCTCGAACCCAACCCACGGCCATCGGGCCACTGGACTCAGGGACCCTGCAGGACAGGGCAGAGGCTCCCACAGGGCTCCATGGCCACCATCTTTGCACAGACGGCCTGCCCTGGACCTTCAGAGCGGCTGGTGGGTTTGAACAGCCAACCCTTCAGTCAGCAGCCCAGGTCTCCTTCCTCAAGGGTTAGTCATGATACACACGATCTCTTACTAGGGGTGTACACCCAGAACTCCTCACAGCACCCTGAGAGGGTCACCCCCTCTTATAAAAGGGGAAGGAAAGGCCCGAGAGCCACACTGCAGGTCAGGGGCTGCACGGAGAGAGTACTCACCCTCCTGGAGCTGGATGGGGAGGCCGGCGCTGCCCGCTCCCACCAATGCCTCGTGCCCCTCGCTGGGAGAGGCCAGGATGCCAAGACCCCAGGACGGACTGCAGGAGGGTCTCCCACTCCAGCCCCCCCCCATCCTTCACAGAGTGCAGAGAGCTGGGGCTCTGGAACCAGCTTGCTACGGCCAAGGGCACTCGCCCACGGGTCTCACCACAGCTACCCACAGGTCAGAGATGGGAGTGTGCTCGGCGGGGCACCTGGTCCCTCCCTATCCGGCTGCCCTGGGCCACCACCCCAAGTCCACGTCTCCTGTGGCCACCGGACCCCTGAGGCTGCCTGGTGGGTTCCCTGTGGTACAGACTCCTCCAGGCCAGGGCTGCTCCAGGGTCAAGAACTTCTACTGTGAGCCTGGGACACAGATGGACACACAGGCAGGGAAACACACAGACACACACATACACCATACACACATGTAGGGCAAACACACCACAGACACATGCAGGAGTAAACACAGACACAGTCATACACACTCAGGCACCACCGACACATGCAGAGACAAGCACACATGCTCACAGGCACACACGCACGCAAAGACACGCAGACCCACAGACGCACACACGCACGCAAAGACACGCAGACCCACAGACGCACACACGCACGCAAAGACACG